GTTGGTTCATTTTAAAATATTTTTTTCAATATTAAAATGGTATTTTTAATTGCCTTGAGGAAGGTCGTGTTTCACTCATATAAATTGATCGCAGTTTTGTATTCATACTATATTAAATGGTATATATATATATATATATATATATATATATATTAGGGTGGTCCTTAATATGGACATTTTCGAATTTTCTTGCTCCCATGGGCTCAAATTCCTCCAAATTATTTTTAAAAAAATCTAAAAAAGTTTTAGCTCTTAATATTAACGTTTAGATAGAGCGCAATTCAATCAAAGTTTTGTATGGAAATAGCATAGAAAAATTTTCAAAAATTTTAAAAATGTTTTTATCAGATATAACTTAGCGAACAAATGAATGAGTTTTATTCAAAATTCGACGCTTTACAAAATAAATTATAAAAAACCTGTTTTGCAGAGCGTCGAATTTTCAATAAAACATGAAACGATTTGTCACTAAATCATTTAAAAAAACGCCTAAAATAATATTATCATAATCAAACTATGATCATTGATCATATAAAAAATCTCAGAGACGCTTTGCAGAATAATGTTTCATTCAAATATAAGAAATAGTATAAACAAAAGGACTGATGCTTCTATGCTGTCTAAAAGTTATCAAGTAATATTAAACAAATAACTTTGTTCAAATAATTTTTTTTTCATAATGTCACTTCTTATTTGACTTTGATATTTAAAAACAAAATTGAGTAATACAAAATATAATTATAGAAAAATTTAATTTAAATGGCAAAGAATTGAAATTACTATATATATATATATATATATATATATATATATATTCAATAGATAAGTCCTGGATTTTCCAAATATGATTGTTTCTTTTCCGAACAGTAATCAATAATAAAAAACAATGTTTTTTGAAGATGTTTAATACGACGTTCGGAACTAGGTATTCCATCATCAGGTTTATTCTGAAATAATTTATATATCCATACACTAATATTTTTTTGTTAAAAAACACTCGATTTTTTTGGAAGATATTTGTAGATGTTACGACTACACAAGACTTAAACACCTGATGATGGAACGTACCTAGTTCCGAAACGTCGTATTAAACATCTTCAAAAAACAAATTGGTTTTTATTATTGGATTTACTGTTCGGAAAAGAAACAATCAATATATATATATATATATATATACATGTAATAATTACGCACATCGCACTTTTAGTCATTGTAAATATTTGCGATGCTATTTTGCTATTAGTACTTAAAACATTTGCAATATATACATTTATATTTATATATTATATATATATATATATATATATAATATATATTATGTATACATGTAAATAAATGATACGACGATATCACTTCATACAAGTCGAGATAAACTCTGTGAGAACCGATAATAAATTTCATCAAACGATTTTAATTAAGTAATTAATACACATTGCACTAAAATATATATATATATATATATATATATATATATATATATATATATACTATAAATTGCAAAATACTCCAAATGTCAACAGAACAAATACAATTTTGCGTAGCAACGTCTCTATAACACATATTATTTACTACAATTTAGTATTTATTTTTATAAAATGTTGCAACAATATTATTAATACATTCTTAAATTAATTATTAATATGTTCTAATTTATTATTATGCAATTATTTCTGTTATAGTTAATATAAGGTTATGAGGTACACAAAAAATCAATTTAATTATTTTTAAAATTAAATCAGCATTTATAGGTTTGTAATATTCTAGGTCTTTATTTCGACTCTCAGAAAAATAATTTCAATGAATCTTTAACTTAAACCATTTATTATGAAAAAAACGGCTCAGACTATCTAAACAGACAAAATAATATTGATTTTATATAAATACAAAAAATTTTTAGAACTAATTATTAATATATTATTAATAATTTTCTTCCTAATTATTAATATTGACTTCAGATAGAATATCAAATCTTTTTGTGTTTTATGTCCAATTTATTAATTCATTTTCATGTTATGCATTAGCTGATAAAATGAAAACAGATTTTTTTTTGTATAGTTTTATTGTCAATCAAAATAATATACATTTTTTAAGACAATATGCTGGGTGTAAATGCATTTAAGAGATTATCTCCTAATGATATATCTATCTTTTAAAAACAGATATTATATTGCCAAAATGTATTGATTGTTATAAATAATTAAAAAAACATCATATTTGTATATTGTTCTTGATAGGAAGTTAAGAAATTAATAAGAACGAAGCCTTTCCCGAAAGGGGAAGATAACCTCATTCTTCGAATACCTATGATTCCGACAAATATAGCATTTTAATTTAAAAGATTGCAGTTTCCAGTTCGATTGGAATTTCAATCAGGATCACTGAAGCTCAATTGTTAAAATATTGTGTATCCACAAATATTGCAAAATTAAACTTTTATAAAATTTATTCTTATTCTTTGTTTCTCATCTCTCAACCATTCAGTCATAATGTCCACCGCGAAACTTATTGGCAGGGGACAGCTAGTATATTATATATATATATATATATATATATAATTAAATTATTTTTAGCGCGTAAAATAAAAAAAATCAATTATTCGGCAATAAAAATACCGAATCAGCAGCTCATTTGAAAAATCAATCCATATCGTATTGATAATTCTATAATTAGACTTAATTGTTTTATTTGTTTAGTCGTCGTCCGAAAATTGTTTTGCAAATTGCGAACTGCAATTGCAATTTATTTATAATTATAAACAATTATATAAATTGTTTAAACAGATTAAACAAGTGCTGATTGTGCAAACCACATAGACAACAAAAACAAATTCATTACGCGAACCAAGTGTCGTAATGAAGTAATGAACTGCGTCCAAAATAAATAAATTTATAAAGTAGTGGTGTATGGGATCGTGCCTTAAGGCAAACTGCTGGAACTTCTCGTACCGTAATGAAATATTCGAGAAATTTTAAACGTTAATAACAAATACTGTAACTTTCATTCATATTTTTGCTATCTTTTTATATCTGAGCAAATCAAATGCAAATCACAAATCAAGTTATCTCCAGAACATTAACAACAATCGTCATTTCATTTCGAATTCAATTTCAAAAAAAAAATAGTTGCCTAATTAATTTACATAAAATTGAAAATGGATGGAATGGGTGGATTTTTTGAATTTTTAATCCAAAATTACAAAAATATTATTTTCTATACAATTTTAAATCGTCTAAAAAATCGTCTTTTGGCGAGCTTGAAAAACCCAAAAGGACTCTACTAACGAGTGAAATAGAATTAAAAGGGACTCTACCGGTGAGCAAACTAAAAAATGAGCAGTAAAAGGACTCTACTGACGATCAAATTTAAAGAAAAAAAAACAACTGAGAACAAACTCTGATGACAAGCATAATCGATTTTTTGGAGAGGACAAAAGGGACTCTACTGATAAACTAAAAAGAAAGGAACTCTTGAAACTTCAATCTTGTGGGGACCTTACTGAAGCACAAATTCTATTGGAATGAAAAAGGGACTCGACTGACGAACAAAATAAGAGAAACTAATAAGAAACAACTCACACACAATGAAATATAAACAGATAAAGGACTCTACTTAGACTGTGCTTAGCTTGGGTAATTTTTTCAATTTTTAATCCAAAATTACAAAAATATTTTTTGAAAAATAAAATTAGAAACAATTTTTTTTTTCGAAAAGCAATTATTTTGTTGAAACAAGCAGAAAGTTCTTTGAATCATTTAAATCGGACGCTTAGTTCTCTCAATAACTGCTATTTTTTGCACATTTAGCTCTGTGTCTTCGAAGTGGCTGAACCTGCCTTTGCCAAAAACTAATAATCACTTTTCCCCGCCATTACGAAATTAATGTTTTTTTGGATCATACAAATCGGGTGATCCATTCTTTCAAAAACTCGATTTGTATTTTCTGCACTCTTTGCTCCATATCTCTGAAACGGCTGGACCTGCCTTTGCCAAAAACTAATCAGCACACCTCCCTATCAATAGGGATCGAATGTTTTTTAAACCATTCAAATCGGTTGATCCATGCGTCCGAAAACCACGACAGAAGAATTTGAATCTGCACACACACACACACACACGTTTTTCTGAGGTATGCCAAAATGTTCAGAAACCTTTGAAACCTAAAGAAATGCAAAAGTTTTCAATTTTGTTTTTTTTGCAATTACTGTAACTTATCCTACGGGAAGTTAATAATGATAGAAAAATAGACTACTGGGCAGCAAATTAAAGAACAAAGTAAACTTTAATAAAAAGGGACTCTACTGACAAGCAAATTAAAATTAGATTCAGAAAGAGGGGCTCTAAAAAGGGTATGCCAAAATGTTCAGAAACCTTCAAAACGTCGAGAAATGCAAAAATTTTCATTTTCGATTTTCGGCCCATTACTATAACTACCCTACGGGAAGTTAAATATACTATATATATTTTATTAATATATGTTTAAACAAAGGGCCTCGCTTTTTCTTAAAAAAATTAATATATTTAATTTAACTTTGAAACCTATTGAATGAAAATGTGAAAATGCCGCCAAGCTAAGCACAGTATAAGTGAAAATGTCGTACAGAATTATTTGCAAATGCGTTTAGACTGTGACTATACGGGAGCACTTTTTCAATTTTGTGCAAATTAGGCAACTATTTAAAATTTGAAATTGAATTCGAAATGAAATGACGATTGTTAATGTTCTGGAGATAAATTGATTTATGATTTTATGATTTGCTCAGATATAACAAGATAGCAAAAATAATGAAAGTTACAGTATTTGTAATACTAATAATATATTTGAAAACGTTTAAAATTCACGAATATTTCATTACGGTACGGGAAGTTCCAGCAATTTGTCTTAAGGCACGATGCCATACACCACTAGTTTTGATAATTTCATGTGTCTGTTCTTAAATTTCACTGAGAATAATTTGTATAAGACACCAAAAATCTAACCCTTTTATGTCTTTACCATTTCAGCAGTATCATGGAAGGCCCAACAGCGGCCGAGGCCGATGACCACCTGGGCTTAAACAAACTACACCAACAACCCTCACCTCCAGATTGGCAGCCAACATCCACCACCAACAGCACCACCACCAACAACAATAACAACCATCATCACCTCTACAAAAACCACCAGAACAACATCGACCACAAACTATTGGTGCACGTCAACAGTTGCCAACTGGTGGACGGCGACCAGGAACTGACACTGAACCACCAGGAGACCACCAATAGATTAGGCTTAGATTTTAGGATTGATGAAACTAGGGCTGTTAATGGTGACGGCAACACGGTGATAGATGGTTCTGAAGGGCTGAAGGGAGGAAAATTCAAGGCTGTGATTGCTGGAACAGCCGGAGATAGGAGCAGATTTGCTCCGTATCATAACCAAAGGCACTACAGGGTAAGGGTAATAGATAGAGTAATAGATAGATAGATAGCGACTAGGATTTATACAAAAACCGACATTTCAGAAAACCGGTTTTCGAATTTTAATTTTACTAAAAAACCGGTTTTAGCCGGTTTTCGAATTTTATATAGAAAATAAATTTTTGCTCGAATATTCTGTAATTTATTCGCAAATTTAGTGTAATTTAGAACAGTATTTGACTGTATTTATTTATTGTTCAATTTCATATATAGTAAACAAAATTATTTAATTTTAATTAGTAGAACTAAAAAATAATAGTTTATCTTGATTAAATAACTTTGAAAATAATTATTCGTTATTCATGCATCATTTTCAAATATAAGAATGAAAATATTTTTATGATAGTGAAAGCAAATTTTTCGAATAAATAAAAATATTACGTTTTTAAATAAAAAACATTCATTAAATTATAATATTAGATGCATGTTGATACATATTTGTTAATATCAATTTTAGTTTTAAAAACAATTAAGCTAAAAATACCTGTCTGTTCCGAGTAGGGTTTGTCGGTTTTCAAAAACCGTTTTTTTTTTCAAAAATTATGAAATTCAAAAACCGGTTTTTACTGTATAAATGAAAAATGACAAATATACTAGATATCTTTTATCGGTTCGATAAAATTTGAAGTCACATCAGTCTGCTATTGTTCCCAGAAAGGTTCTGGTCATCTTTTGTCTAATGTATATATTAATTTAGGCTATTTTATCAATTTATATATTAATTTAGATCAATGCGACTTTTTGTTGAAGGAGTGAATTGCTCTACTCAAATTTGAAAAAAAGAATTTTTATCCATAGAAGCCACAAATAAAAGAACAAAATTTCCAGAATTATTATATCACACTTTTGTTCAGAGTATTTTTTAATTCAAAAAATTTAGTGGGTAAACAAAAGACGCTTCTAAATAACAAATTGATAGGCGTGCTCAGCTTTTAGCAATCATATTTCATTAAACTAAAAAAAATAAATATTTGAAATTAATTAATTAAAATTGTTGGAATATAATAAACTCGGGGATTTGTTTAATGTTTTTAGAATTAAAATTGACATTTGTTTAAAAGTTGAAAGTTTTTTATTTAAAAATGTATCATTTTATTTATTCAAACTCTT